AAAAAGAAAAAAACATTATTAAGGAGAGAGAACTAAGAATGAACAGAATTAAGACCGAAGTTAACAACTGACATTATATTTAAATATTTGATAATCCAAACTGAGATGAAAGCAATAACCAAATAGAGAGTTCCACAAGCGATAAATGTTTGTTACATTAAAAGTCAAAATGGTTGAAAGTAAGATACATTTCAGTTATTCCATGCTCTTCCCGAAAATAAATAGCTGTGCAAAGCAGCAATAAAGATATGTGCCGCTCACGGAGACTGTGCCATAGCTGGGTGTCCTGTTTACGTCCGGAACAGGACATTTTGATGTGGAAGATGTAGAACGTTCCGACAGACCTGCAAACATTGTTGATAACCAAATCGAAACGCTGATTAAAAATAATCCTGTTTACACTACACGGGATATCTCACATATATGTGATAATCCACATATCTCATACGAACATTTAGTAACACTTGGATACAGGAACTGCTACGAAAAAAAAAGGACCTCATTTTCATCTGCGATTCTCTTCTCTCGTTAAATGCCACAAAAAATGTGATGAAAAATGATTTGTTTACAACAATGTGAAGCGAAATTGTTCTTCAAAAGCCGGTCTGCACCCGAAGATGGCGATGTTCTGTGCATTTTAGGACTGGCTGTGTATTGGCGAAATCAGACGTTCAATTCTGGAAAGTACTGTTCACAAAAGGACCGATTAATACAACAATCGATGAAAAGCGATAGGAAAGGTGACAGGACTAATGCACTTTCCAAATCCAGCAAAAAATTGTACAGCCTAGATGCCAAATCAAAAAGGCATATAGTCAATATTTATCCAATATTTATCATAGTATCATATAGTACCTAGACTTAGTGAATTTTGAATTTAAGCTCAGTACTAGAAGGACATCGAGATCTCATCAATTTATACTTGAGCTGGCAAGCGTAGATTCTATGCTAACAGTTTATCTTCTCGCACTTGTGGAACTTATTTCAGGCTTTATGCTTTCCAGCTAACATTAATTTGCAAAAATTTAAATGCAATGTCAATTGCTATCTACTGTCCTCCTGATTACTCTTTTCTCTCCAAGTTCATTATTAATGTTTCTGTTCCGAATTATTCCTGATCCTCTAACTCCATGTGTCATAGTGACTTTCATGCTTTGCTTGGGGTGATATTGATTTAAAAAATCCCCACCCCTACCCATAGCGAGTGAGCTTCTTGATTCCCATTTTTGCTGGGTGGGAACTACAATACTAACAAAGTTTTAATTTGTTTTAAATTGTTTTGTTGGACATTTTATTTGATTTAATGGATTTCATTCCCTCCTTTATATATTTTTGTAAAAAAAAAACTCATAATACTATATATATCATGATGAACCTGTAATATATATATATATATATATATATATATATATATATATATATATATATATATATATATATATATAGGTTCAAAAACTAATACTCCATGGTTATAATTTATTACATTGGAATTGTAATCACGATCCAATTCATCAGACATACAAATTGGGCGGAATGTGTAGGTCAGATTATAATAATGGAATATTAGTGTTTGAGCCTTTTATATTATGTTCTTGCTCTGTCCTGGACATTGAGCTCTAACTGGATTCTATCCTCTTGAAATATATATATATATATATATATATATATATATATATATATATATATATATATATCTATATATATTGACCAAGTAATTTTATCAATATATATATATATATATATATATATATGAAGAAATATAGTTTTAAGGTGTGCTATATTTATGGGATAAATTGCTCAATATCAGAGATAGAGCGTATATAAATATAAAGATGAACACTGAAGTCAACACTCAGAGGCTACAGACTGTTTCATGCTAGACCCAATCGTCAGCATGAAACAGTCTGTTGACTTCAATTTATATATATATATATATATATATATATATATATATATATATATATATATATATATATGTTTGTTAAGAAACCCGTGTAGACGTGGTCTTTTGGTGCATGTTCGAACCGAACAGTGAAAGATGAGTCCTTATGGTTCTTGTGTCAACTGTTAGACTTTATGAATCGTGAATCGAACTACGTGGAGCCCAGTAAGAAAGCGGCAAATTTATTCTCCGCGAAAATACACCAGCTCTGGGTCCATCTTAGTGGCCGTCTAAAATCCCAGATCTGAATGTTATGGATTACTTACAAAACCGTCGTCGTGACACCGTCGATATTGATTCATTGAAGTAGAACTTAACTAAAATTTAGAATGAAATTCCTCTTGGTACTGTTTGCAAAGCTACTGCCTCCTGGTTACTACGCTTACAACTTTGTGTTGAACATTCAGGCAAACATATGGAAGATCTACGATGTTCAGTTTGTGCATGAATCATGATAGGTAAATCAATTGCTTTCTAAATTTAGCTCTTTTTTACTGGGTCCCCTGTAGTCAGACGAAGGATAGCTAGTGTTGACCAACCTCTCCCCATCTCCATTCGGCCTCGTGTATTGTATTTTGCTAAATAAACATAGTGTCGAGAAGAGAGTCTATAAAACGCAAAAGTGGACGTTTAACGGGGTTTGTATTAAAGGGAAAACGCAATCCATCTCGGGCCAATGATCGATATTTCAAAATATGTCCTACAATCGATGGAGGCGATTAAGTGTAGCGATTGAAGTATTCGGATAAAAGAAAATAATTACGAAAAATTGAATCCAACTAGACTAAAATACAATGATCAACACCAGGAAGTCGAAGGTCCTAGCGGCCACTGGGAAACCGTCATAGTTGAAAATTCAGCGACGAGGAGTCACGCTGACTCAAGTGAAGAAATTCAAGTACAGACAAAACTCTCATTTACGGACTCCTTATCAACGGACTTCGGATGCAACGGACAAAATTTATAGGCAAAATAAAAAAAAATCTGCAGAAGAAAATGTATTTCAAAATTGGTGGGCTTAGCGGAACGAGTCGTATTAATTCTGAAAGTGATCGCTTGGCGGCGGTGGCGGGCTTTTCAACTGTAAAGATTGGTGTACAGTATATAAAGTACGATACATCTGCGCGTGCGTGAAAAAGAAGCTGACAGAAATCTATTATTTTTGTTGTTTTGATTAATATATCTATATTAAATATTTATTTATATATACATGTTTATAGTATTTACATTATTATATAAATGTTTATAGTATTTACATTATTACTAGTGCAAATTACTATAGCGGTTTTTAAATTAAAAAATAATCCCTTCCCATCTACGGACAATCGGCTTTAACGGACCCTCTCATCCCCCTATTATTCCTTTCATGAGAGGTTTGTCTGTACCCAAGAACCGCTATAGATCAAAAAGCGAATAGTATTCATGAGATCTGGGCCAGGTACAAGACCTATATTGAGCTCGATTAACCCGTGGAAAAAACTGCGCTATTCGCAAAAGCATCATTGAAGCTTCTGGAGACTACAGTGTGGCATTATATCACTACGAAACGTGAACGCTGAAAGCCGCCGGTAACAGACTGATGTCTTTCGAGGCAACACGCTAAAGGCACTTCGCCATTAAGCGTCAATTGGACAGAACACGAAACAAACGTATCAGTCCTGAAGGAGATCGGAACGGAGAGGCATAAGGAAGCGAAAACATGGCAGGACATCGAGTGGAAGACCAAGTCGATGCTGGACTGACGACATCAAAGATTGAACGTGGAGGATAAAGGCGGAGTGCACGGTGATGGCGGTAATATAAGAGAATATTGGTGCAAATGCCCTTGCTCCCAAATATCTAGTAATGAGGACGGGAAGAAACAAGTAAGCAAAATAAAATACAAAGGTTACAGCACCTCCCCATCCAACCAAGATTGCTTGTTTTCTCTATTTGATTAATTAATGTTGGTCTGTTAATTACTAAAGAAAACAATAAGAAATGCTCTTCACTTGTTTTTTGTTTTTTTTAAACTTCTTCAGGACATATATTTTCCATTCATTTTCTAATCTTCGCTGAAATTATTTTTCTTTTATTTTCAGAACGCAAATTACGATTCTTATTTACGTTCTCTTCCATTAGAATTTCTTGTTTTAAAAATTATAATCATAAGCATTTTATCCGCAACTCCCGTTAAATAACAAAATCGGTTTTTCCATTCACTCATTCTTTCTGTCCTCCTTTGTCTTAGCGCTTGCTTTTGTAGTTTCTTGCAATGACTTTAAAAACAGGAACTCTCACTAATTTAATCCTGTACGCATGCGCTATGTATTTTCAGGCGCCATTGTATTAGAAGATCGCCATGTTGGATAAGTGGATTTGCGTAGGCTCTTGTAAAGGTGTTTTATACCGTATGTATGTGCGTATATATAATGGTGCTGCATTTATGTATTGAGTGTTTTCTATTTTCAAATATATATGTTTGTTTTATTTTATTTTATTTTTTTGTTTGAAGGACATCTTTAGTTAATAATTAAACCCTGGCATTTTGAAATGAGTTTAATTCGATGGCTTCGTTTGAAAGGACGCTTTATTTGCATTTGTTTGCGTTTGTTTGCATTTGTTTGAGGCTTAACCAAGGAAATTATGAAATAAAATTATATGGAGCAAAATATTTTGAATAACAACAATTATAATACAAAGTATAGTGAACAGCACAGTCAACATTAATATTTCAACGTCCGTTATTTCAACTATTGTTGATAATGAAAAAAAAAACTGTAGACCAGGAGAGACAGAAAAAAAAAGTGAAAGACATGAAAGTAGAAAAATGAATTATTAGAAGAGAAAATATGTCTGTGGCTTGAAAGAAACAAACAAGGGGATATGTAAAGAAAGAAATTCGAAAGATATGTCAAATAAAGAAAGAATGAATGATTGATTCGAGGCGAAGTAGATTACAAAGGAGAAAAATAAAAGAAAGATAAATTATATTAGAGCATTTATAGAAAAATGTATAGAAAACAAGAAAGACAAAATATATGAAACAATAAGATGATGAAAGGAAAAAAGAAAGGAACTAAAGAATAAACGAATGAAAAAAGAATGGAGGAAAAAAAGAATAAAAAGAATGAAAGAATGGATGGATGGATAAATAAAGAATAATGAATATAGCCAATAAATGCATATAGCCAAAAGGAAAGTCAAAACTGACGAAGAAAGGAAGGAAAAAGGAGAAAGAAAGAAAGAAATTGTAAAAGAGATAAATACATAAAGAACATAACGAAAAAAGAAAAATACAATAAAAACTTCTGGAATATATGGATAAAAATGAAAATAAATGATGAAAGATTTGAGGAAGGAAGGAAGGAAGGAGGGAAGGAAGGAAGGAAAGAGACAAGGAAATAAGGACTCAGAATGTAATAGTGTGGATGAATGTCAAGAGGAAAATGGAAGTCAATAAATACAAAAAGAAGGGATGAAGAAATTATAGATAAAAAAAACTCGAAGAATGCAATAACATTCATCACAACAGATCATAATATTCATCGAGTGGCTAGTGGGTTAATGCATCTTTAAAATTTATTTAGCGAAGGGATTTCGCCATTTTATGTCATTAACTTTACTAATTTAATTTTTGCATGAATCATTCATTGTAATATAAATTAAACTGCACCACATATTTTACATATATATATATATATGTGTGTGTGTGTTTATTACTGTCTCTTGCATTTTTCTTACTTTTTAGCAATTTATCTGCTGAGAAGCAATAAGAATGTCCTAGTTACATATAATGAAGTCAGCAACATACCAAGGCACCTTGACAAAATGTAATGATGGCATCAAACATTTTGTTCTCTTCATTCTCATTTCATACCACGCAATCTTTCGTTTAAGACTTTAATTTATTTTATTTTTTATTCTTAGATTTTCTTTGATTGATCAGAGTCTACAATTTGACATTTGGGCTGCGGACTTTATCTTTCGCAAATCCGCCCGCATATCAAGCATCATTGCAAGCGCTGAGAAGGAAACCCTAAAATGGCTGACAGAAGAAGAAGAAGAAGAAGAAGAAGAAGAAGAAGAAGAAGAAGAAGAAGAAGAAGATAGGGTTGGATTCTTGTGCGTAGATGATAATCAAGAAGATGACATTGAAGGGTGGAAAGTTGAAAAACAACGGGGAGGTGATGAAAGAGAAAATATAAAAGGAAAGACAAAATAAGAAACAAAAAAGAAAGGAGCAAGAGAAATGGAAGTAAGAGGCGGAAGATGGATAGCGGAAGTATGAAAAGACAAATGAAGAGGAAAACGGAAATCGTTAAATGTTCTTCCGGTTCAATATAATCTTCAAACTGGTAAAGTAATGGCGTGATTATTATATTTTTCCGAACAAAATTTAAGATAAAAATGCCTTATATATATATATATATATATATATATATATATATATATGCATGGAAAAAAATGTTGACTTTTAAATGGCAGGATAAAAAATTTCAAGCATTTTAATTTATAAGATAAAATTTATATAAATAATAGAGACAGAGAGAGGGAAGAGAAACGGGGAGGAAGAGATAGAGAGGGGAGAGAGTGGTGGAGGGAGAGAGAAGGGAGGGGAAAAGGTGGTTTGAGGGAGAGAGATGGTGGGAAAAGGTGTTGCAGAAATCATTGAGCTAGTCAAAAAGTCAAAAATTTCGTTAGAAGACGTGAATAGATAAGTGGGTAAGGGAAGAATAAGCAAAAAGAGAGAGAAGAAGAAAAATGGAACGCGGAGAGAGAGAGAGAGAGAGAGAGAGAGAAAAGAAAATGAAAGAAAGGAAGGAAGACTGAATTAGAGTAAAAGAAAGAATAGAAACTGTGAAGAGTTAAAATGTAAGAAACAAAGAAATAAAGAAAGAATAAATGAATGAATTAAAATACAAGAAAGAAAGAAAGAATTTAAATGCAAGGAAAGACAGAATTAAAGAAAAGAGAATAAATGGAAGAATTAATATAGAAGGAATAAAAAAGAATTAAAGTAAAAATATTAAAGAATTCAAAAACAATGGGAAAATTAAGGGCAAGAAACGGAAGAAAGAAAGAAAGAATAAATTAATGAAAATAGATAAAAAGATACAGAAGGAAAGAATTAAAATACAAGGAAGGAAAGAATTTAAGTATTAAGATAAGAGAAAGAAGAAATAAATGAATTTAAGGAGAAAAAAATAAATAACGAAAGAATGAGTTAAATTGGAAGACAGAAAGAAAGAAAAATAAAGAAAGGTAGAACAGGAAAATATAATAAAATGGTACCTAGATTTCATGAATTTATATATATATTATAAATTAATTGATTTAAAATATGGTTTTTTCGCTACACAGTTCTAATCATGTTTCGAAAATGGAAGCTAAAAGCTTCGAATTTTATTTTGTAATTAAATTAAAGACATTAGTTCCATTTCATCCACAAGCGAATTTTGGAGTAACTTTTAAAATTAAAACATGCTTAGAACTGTGTAGCAAAAAAAAACATATTTTAAATCAATTAATTTATAATATTAAAGCTCTGTAAATTTACACTGAGCACTATTTTGTAAAAATAAAAATATATATAAGTACACCGGATTATATATCTTACTCTTCTTTCTTTTATATATATATATATATATATATATATATATATATATATATATATATATATCCAATAAGAGAAAGAAAAAAATCCACAGTTCGTAACATTTACTGTTTAAAAAAGTGCTCAATACAAAGTAGAGCAAACTATTATATAAAGTAGACAAGACATACCCATTGTCATATTTTTAATTCTGATCTTAAACCCATCCCACTTTAGCTTCCGAAAAGAGATAACGATTTGTTTTTAAATTTCGCTAATAAATCATTTTTATCACAAGTTATCTACCATCGCTTTAGGAAGTTTTACCATAGTATTGAAACATGGAAGTTGTTGTCTTGCGATGTAAAATGTTTTCATTATAATCTATTATAAAAAATATTATATATATATATATATATATATATGTATATATATATAAGAAATAATAGCTATAATTTTTGTTGATTATTATTGTAGCTATTTAGCTAAAATAATAATAAAAATCAACAAAAAATGAAAAACGAAACTTTTCAGTTGACGCATGCGTAATTCCTCATTATTCTTTGAATTCTTACTCAGTGCTTTCAAGCACACCACCTCACAGAGAAAGAGAAAGTGAGAAAGTGTGTGTGTGTGTGTGTGTGTGTGTGTGTGTGTGTGTGTGTGTGTGTGTGTGTGTGTGTGTAACGTTCACTGTGAGCTGGAGGGAAATGGAATCATTAACCAGAGCAAAGTAAATGTTACGAAACAGGGCAACAAGCATTTGTTAAGTCACAAATTACTTCCACTATTTACACGCGACTTTGTAAACTGACGACAGGACATGAACACAAATACCTTGTTAATCACTCTCATATGTTTACACATGGGTGTAAATCCGAAAAACACACACACATAAACATACATGCTGGCATATCCACCTACACACATAGACACGTCCAAAAAGAGTTTACGATCAAAAGTAAGTTGAAGAATGTTTACTTGTGTGATGGAACATACAATTGACATTTTATTATGAAACCAGCAAGACTGAAGGAAAATACAAAATTCTGGAAAGACAGACAAACATATAGATATGTAACTCAAAGATAAAATAATGACATAATAAAAATGTTGACAATCATGAAAAATTGTTTTAAGAGAAAGAATTTTTTTTAAATTTCAAGCGCCAACGCAATTGGCTGTTCGATCAGTGAATGTACAATATTTCCTTATAATGAAACAGCTAATATTCACTTTACTATATTTGATTTTCTGGCCTAAGCAATTGCCGTTTCAAAGCGGTTTACTCTCAATATAAGTTCTGAATTCTTCTAACATCATTCCCAAATGGATCTAAGTTTCCTGTTGATCGTTTCGCTTGTCAAATATTCCTTGTTAATTTCACAAACGGTTGTAAGAAGGAAATGTCATAATGTATGCTTCGTTAGGGTAGAAAAACATAACCTGTCTTGTGAGTATCTAAACTCGACTAGTAAAAATTTAAAAAAAATATTTTCATTTATGTAATATATATTAATAAAATATTTTGACAAAATGGAAAAAATTAGTGTGACGCGTTTCGTTCTTTAGGACTTCATCAGACTAAAGTGATGTTTATGTTGATGCGACTACACATGCGCATGAAGGACAGGGGACGGTGTAATTTTAATTTTTTTTAAATGTGTATAGCTATATAAGATATATTTAAATAAATTAATTTTTTGTTTTCAAATTCTAAAACAACCTATTTTAAATTAAAACATGATTTATTTTCTTTCTGATAATTTTATCTCAAAATTTGAACTTATGATAATTTTTCTGTCATAACCTTATGAATTTCTTTTTAAGATGATTTTCCGGTTACATAATAAACATCGCTTACAGCCTTACAAGTTACAAGTACACAAATAAAATAACTAATGACATTGTAAAGACACTGAAAAAAATTTAAACATTAGTTTTTTGGGTTTTTTTTACAACAAACACAATACCATAATTTAATAAAATAAAGAGCTTAACGTATCTGACATTTTCCGGGGGTAATTGCTTTTTATAAGTGTATCAAGATGAAACGATTTAGATTGTGTCGTGATCAAACTCGTTGTGTGATACAATCGGAAATCTTAAGTTACTAACATTTTTTAAAAAATATTTCTGTGTTTAGATATATTAAAAGCAATATAGCTGAGTCCTTTTCAGGGTCGTCTGCTTAGTGAAAATTCAAATAAGCTGAAAACGTTGGCCATATTACGAAGGTCGTACTGTCTGTTGACGCATGCGCCCTCAATCTCACATACATCTTCGATTATTTCAATATCGTTGTCATGACAACGAGAAAGCACTTGGAGACAATTGGATAGTGAATTTGGCGCGGGAGAAATCTGGATGGATAAACAGGAAAGCATAAGAAGGCCAGTGAGATAAGTTAAAAGTGGGGAGAAGATGGTGGCGGTAGTAGTAGTCGCTGTCATTAACGTCGATTTGACGGTCAGGATAAAGATATATTAAACAGGTGATTAAATAGGATAAATTGCTAAGGAATTACGAGGTGGGAAAGAAAGAAAAGAAAGAAGAAAGAAAGAGTGAAAGAAAAGGGAACTGAAAAAGAGAGAGTATATATTCGTGTATAAGTCGACTTTTGAATTTTAATGAAAACTTATATTCTTCTTGTGTCGGCCGATCCAACAT